TGACTACGCTTCTGATGAGGAATTTTGTGATGACCGTGATGACTACGCTTCTGATGGGGAATGTTGTAATGATAGTGATGACTACGCTTCTGATGGGGAATGTTGTGATGATCGTGATGACTGCGACTGTGATGGTAAGCAGCGTGATTCGAGTGATGCCTATGCTAGATAAAGAGTATGACGCTGAGGATTACGATTATGACTGATTCTGGTGATGACTATTATAACATAACAAGAGTGATGACTGAGTGGCTAGGATTATGATAAATATGATCGCAATTGTGAATTCATAATGGTTGTAGTTACTGGCATAGCTGTTGCGTTATGGTATAAAGTGTTGTTTAGAAATTTCTTTGTGATATATTTTGGATTCAGGCGATATGTTGTTTACTCGGTCGAGTATGTCCGGTAGAATATACAAGGTATACGCACATTTCTGTCAGAAAGTTGACTGACAGGAAACGAGAAATGCAGATTGCCGGATGGATGGAAATGATGGTCGTTTGTTGATGGAGAGAAAAATAGAAAAGATAAAAATGTGAATGCAGGAGAGGGAGAGGGAAAGGGAGAGAGAGAGAGAGAGAGAGAGAGAGAGAGAGAGAGAGAGAGAGAGAGAGAGAGAGAGAGAGAGAGAGAGAGAGAGACCAACCGACCGACCGACGAGCAACAGAGGGACAGACAGAGTGAAAGAAGGGGAGGAAGGAGAGAGGGAGGGAAACGGAGAGAGAGAGAAAAAAAATGAAACGAGAGAGGTTTCCCTCATATTCTCATCATGGCTTTCTGTCGACGGCCTTTTTTTTAATGGACAGTCAATCCCATTTTTCCCCATTCTTTGGCGAGTGGCACTATCTATTCCTTACATTTCGATTGTCGTCTTCCTCTGTGACGTTATGGTGGAAGTGCTGGGTCGAATTATTATTATTTTCTTTTTCGTCGTTATTATCAGCAGCAGCATCGTGGCTATTGTCTTTATCGTGGCTGTTTTCGTCATTATTTGATACTCTTCATCATTAGCATGATCACATTAACATAACGGCGTTCCAAATGTTCTAATTTCCCCTGGTGTCGGTAACAGGTCGCGTTGTGTGTGATGACGATTTTATAATTCCTGACGTCAGTTATTACGTTGCCATGTAATGCGATTTCGGCGAAATAAAGTTGCCCTTTATGGCGAGCCTTCGCCGTTTCGGCCGTAATGGCTACGGGCGCTGAAGGCCTCCCTTCTTCTATGGCATTCTATACCGTCTCCGTTTCCTATAAGTTTCGCTACCCTGTCTCTTTCTGTCGTCCAGTTTCATACGTTGCTACACTCACGCTGTGTGTGTGTATATATGTATATATATATATATATATATATATATATATATATATATATATATATATATATATATATATATATATATATATAATTATATATATATATGTGTGTGTGTGTGTGTGTGTGTGTATGTGTGTGTGTGTGTGTATGTGTATGTAATGTATATGTATATATATTATAGATATGTATGTATGTATATGTATATATATATATATATATATATATATATATATATATATATATATATATATATATATTTATAGGTGTGTGTGTGTATGTATGTATGTATATGTATATATGTATATATATTTGCATATATACATATATGTATATACATACATATATGTATATATATATATATATGTGTGTGTGTGTGTGTGTGTGTGTGTGTGACAGACAGACAGACAGACAGACAGACAGAGACAGAGACAGAGACAGACAGACAGCAAGAGAGAGACAGACAGACTAAAATAATGAAATAAACAGGTTATGATAGCAGGGGCAGTCTTTATGAATAAGAAGCAGCGCGATGAATAAATAGATCGAGATAAAAAGACAAACAGCATAATAAGAGGAGGGAAATCTGTTCGGATGGAAAACTCGCATCAATAGCCGGGTCGAAAAAGACTCGCAGATAATGAACAGCGGAAGGGAAAGCTTAAAGAAAACGGGACGTCCTCAGAGAAAACGGGAATATTTAGCGCTCTCCCTTTGCGCTCTTTTTTTTCCCGAGAGGTTCTGCATTGCTTTTCTCTTCTTTTTTTTTTTTTTCTCTCTCTCTCTCTTTCCTATCTTCTCTCGTCTTTATTTTTCCTGCTTCTATAGCCTTTGGTGCAGATGTGTTTTTTTTACCTTGCTTCCATTTTTAGACTTATCTTTGTTTTCTTTTGTCGTGGATTTATTTGTTCGATGTTTTTTCCGTCCAGTTACTCCTCCTCATCATCATCATCATTATCATCATCATCAATTATCGTCATCATCATCATCATTATCGTCGTCATCGTCATCATTGTCATCATCATCATCATCATCATCATCATCATCATCATTATCGTCATCATCATCATACTGAAAGTATTACGATTACTACTCTTATTATTATATCTACAACTATAGCTATTGTAACTACTCCCCTGACCCTCTTTTGTCACTAGTCGGAGAAAGAAATGTATAAATCAGTTT